CTAGCTGTTATGTGAGGGGAGGTAAAATATTGTATTGGAAATTAACATTATCCTACACTGAAAATGTATTCCCGATAGATTCTTACTTCTGCTTACACTTTTCACCCTTCCTCCCCTCTTCCAGTGTCTTTTTCTTTTTATGTTGTTCAATCTCGAAAAGAAGTTGAGCTAAGTTGCATAGAGGGAGTCAGCTGTGCTAGGAGTTGTATTGCATTCCTATTGGTAGAGGGTTGTTGCATCTTCATTTGCATGCTATCACACATCTGTCTCATGTAAAAACATGTCTCATGTAAAGGTGGGAGTATCAAGGCTATTGGCAAACGAAAATTGTGCATATAGAGGGTAGTACAAGTTGAGAAAAGCTGTTGTGTGAGTAGAGGTAAGAATTTATCAGAAATACATTTTCAATGTAGGAAAGTGTTAACATACATTTCTTTGGCCATTGTATTTAGACAAGGTATGACCAAATTGTTAGAAAGCTGAAGTAAGGATAAGGGTCCAAGATTTGAGCTTTCAGTATGCTACTAAACATGCTTTCCATTTTCAGCTGTGGGTGCATTATAAAATTAAGTCAGTCCCATCTTTCTGTTAAAGATTAGATGTGTGTAGGCATTAGGATACTGTCTGGTTTCTGTCTCCCTAAGTTAGGATCAGCCATTTCTGAATCCTTGAGTGTCAAACCTGGCTGTTGCTATTTTTTTCAATTTTTTAACTTATGTTGAAATTGAATACTTTGGTATTATTCCCTTAGAATCTCATTAAACAGGTGCAGGAAGTCCATTAAGACATTTTGAAATTCTCCATTCTCTTAAACAGTATCTTTAAACTTGATAAAATTACTGCCGTTATCTTATTTTTGTTAAAAATCTTTGCACTTCAAGTTCTTTAAATAATGAAATAGTGTTAGGGTTAAGGCATTGAATAGCTGTATGTCCATACTTGAATTTAGTTTGTTGAAGTTTCAAACTAATGAAACTACTTGTGTATGTTAACCAAAGGAGTTGTTCTAAATATTTTAATTGACTTGAAACTTTGTCAAGTCTATACCCAGTGAAACTAATAATTGTGAACAAGTTTATTTTTATATTTTGATATAAAAAATATATTCTGATTTTATGATTATATCATGTGATAACTAATTTCTTCCAGAATTTTTTTTACAATTTGTTTAGCATGTTATGAAACTTTTTTGTTCATATACTGAATAAAATATATTAGAAATCTAGGATTTTTGAGTATGCATAATTTTTAAATTTCAAAATAGTAACAAATATTATTGTGCATGATATCTGGCATGTGTTTGTTGTTTGCACACTTTTGTTTGATGGGTCATTTATGTATGATTTTAGTATTAGATGGATTTTATGGCTTTCCTGGACAATCTAATATGATTGTCATGTTTAATTTTTTCTCATTCTTTGTTTCTGATCTAATCTTTCACTAAGAAAAAGCTCACTGAAATCACTCATGACCAAAGCCAACAGAGCTACTGGCATGGTTTAAGATGTATATGCTCATAATCTGTTACTGTTGACTTTAAGTTATCATACAATGCAATTTCCAGGATGTGGACACAACTAGGCAACCAGAATTGTTAACTATATGGTGCCTGTATTCCTCATTGAGTACAAAATTACACCATTGAATTAAGAAAGCTATTGTTTCACAATAATAAAATGATGACTTCAGAGTTAAAATTATTTCAATAAAGCTTTATTTATTAACATAAAAAAAGCTAATTTTGATTTTGGATTTATTTCAGCATATTACAAACAAAAACATTTTGTGAATTTCTTGAAATGTTTCTGTGAATAATATGGTAATTATAGTTCCCTAGGAGAAAGGTAAAATAGTGTTGAACAAAATAGCACTAATTTGAACCTTTAACTTCAGTAAAAGTACATTTTTACTGGTTTTAGCCAATCACTGTTTTTAAATTTTGTATGGCTCTTATCTCAATCTTGAGAAATCATAGGATAGTGATGTAAACGTGTAATGAAAGTTCTTTTTCTATATATTTTTTAACTGTATAAGCTAATATGGCTTCCATTTCAGTTTGAGACTTGTGTAGAGATTGGAACAAAGTGATAAAAGCTTAGTTTGGTGATATGTTGCTAGAACTTCTATCACTATTACAGTCCTATTGTTGTTGTTTTTAAAAGCTTGCAAAACCTTGCTTTATCATTTTATACTTCATTGAAATTATTAGGTTTAAATATAATAGGAAAAGATATGTTTTTTTGTGGAACAAGGTGAGTATGACTGAGTTAGGTCATTTTATACTTGACCTGTCAAGTTTGGTGTCACAGATAGACCTCATCAGCCAAAGTAATTACTTGAATGGACAAAGAGAATAACCAAAAAAGAAAGTAAAAAAAATATATATATATATATATATATATATGTGTGTGTGTGTGTGTGTGTGTGTGTGTGTGTGTGT